GAGAACTGCTGAGATTCTAAGGGCTATATGACACTCTTCCAGGCTGGTTGCCTGTGGTCCCAGCTACTTGGGAGGTGGAGGCAGGAGACTTGCTTGAGCCCAGGAGTTGGAGGTTGCTGTGAGCTATGAAGCCACAGCACTCTACCCAGGGGGATAGCTTGAGGCTCTGTTTCAAAAAAATAAAAATAATAAAAATAAATAAAAATAATATTTTGGATATTGGGTTAAATTAAACATATTATTTAAATGAATTTCATCTTTTTTTACTTTAAAAATGTGGCTATTAGAAAAAATTTAATTCATTATGTGGTTCATGTTAAAAATAAAAATATTTTGGATATTGGGCTAAATTAAATATATTATTTAAATGAATTTCATCCTTTTTTACTTTAAAAAGGTGGCTATTAGAAAAAATTTAATTCATCATGTGGTTCATATTATATTTCTTATGGCCAGCACTATAGTATCTATGTTATAAATAGCAAATTCTCACTTTGGGAGGCTGAGGCTGGTAGATTACTTGGGCTCAGGAATTCGAGATTAGCCTGAGTAAGAGCTAGACCCTGTCTCTACCAAAACAGACCCTGTCTCTACCAGAAAAACTGGCTGGGTGTCATGGCAGGCAACTGTACTTCTAGCTACTTGGGAGGCTAAGGCAAGAGGATCGCCTGAGCCCAAGAGTTTGAGGCTGCTGTGAGCTATGATGATGCCATGGCATTCTACTCTGGGCAGCAGAGAGAGACTCTGTCTCAAAATAAATAAATAAAAGAAAGAAAGGGAAGGGAAAGGAAGGAAAGGGAAAAATAGCAGATTCAGGCCATTTAAACCAAGGGGGAAGCTGGAATGGGATAATTAATGATACTGTAGTTGTTTTAAGAAGTATTCTAAAAGGTGAATAGAGGGGCTCTCCGTGATGAAATATTTCTATTCTTTTTCCTTCTTTGTCTTCTGTAAATTTTATGCTACCACCAAATGGAGATAGAAAGATTTTCCAAGCCTTCATCTCCCCTCACAGGGATTCCTGCAATGGCCTTTCAAGCGGTTTCTTTGTTCCTCTACAGTCTGTTTTTAACATAATAGGCAAAGAGATCCTTTAAGAAGTCAGACTTTGTTCCTACTTTTTCCTATTTTGCTTTTTTAAAACCTCCTAATAGCAATTCTACCTCCTGCAGAGTAAAAGGCAAAGTCCTTACAATGGCCTACCAGGCTACATTTGATCTGATGATCTGGTTCAAAGCCTCTGACTTCATCTTCACTTGCCCTTGTACATTCTGTTATACTCTGTTGTAGCTACACTGGCTTCTACATACCTGGTTCTTGCCTGCTTTTGTACTTGTTATTTCCACTGAACAACACTTTTTTCTTTCAGTTTGAATTTGCCCCCTTTCACTTCCTCCAGGATTTGGTTCAATGTTACCTTTTTTTTTTGAGACAGAGCCTCAAGCTGTCCCCCTGGGTAGAGTGCGATGGCTTCACTGCTCACAGCAACCTCCAACTCCTGGGCTCAAGCGAGTCTCCCTGCCTCTGCCTCCCAAGTAGCTGGGGCCACAGGCGCCTGCCATACTGCCCGGCTATTTTTTGGTTGCAGCTGTCATCATTGTTATTTGGCAGGCCCGGGCTGGATTCAAACCTGCCACCTTCAGTGTATGTGGCTGATGCCTTAGCCACTTGAGCCACAGGTGCCGAGCCCAATGTTACCTTGAACAACCCCATTGCTATCCATACACCTCTGGCATACTCTGACTATATTCTGCTTTTCTCCATAGCACTCATCACCCTCTGATGTTCTATATGCTTTAATTATTTGTTACCACTCTATTTTCCTCACTAGAAGAGAAGCTCCATTAAAGCAGGGATATTGATGTCTGGTCCATAAGAGGTACTCAAAAAAATTACCGAATGAAAGAACAAACTCAGGTGTCCTATAATAGGAAGAAACTCCTGGACCCAAAGTCTACCAGTTGAAGCAATTAACAGATATAGTCTGGTGTTCCTCAGTTTGACAAAGATTTAAAGTACTAAACCAGTAATGAAGCAACCCATAGCCTGCCTAACTTAGCTATATATACTACATGAAATCTAATTTCAGAATGGAGAATTAGAAATCTGCCTCTTTATTGCTCCTTCTCAGATATGCCCAGTATCTTTCCATTTTATTGGCTAAAAAAAGCAGTGTCAAATTCTCATTGACAGTCTTCTGTTCAAGTAGGTGGTTTGAGTTATAAAAAATACCCCTCCATGAGATTAAAAAAAGCTAATTTTAACTTATAGAGGAAAATTTTTTAAAAGCCACAAACAGGCCAGGCATGGTGGCTCACACCTATAATCCTAGCACTCTGGGAGGCCGAGGTAGGCAGACTGCCTGAGCTCAGGAGTTCGAGACCAGCGTGAGCTAGAGTGAGCTATCTAAAAATAGCCAGGTGCTGTGACAGGCACTCGTAGTCCCAGCTACTCAGGAGGCTGAGGCAAAAGGATCACTTAAGCCCAAGAGATTGAGGTTGCTATGAGCTATGATGTCAGGGAACTCTACCGAGGGCAACAAAGTGAAACTCTGTCTTAAATAAATAAATAAATAAATGAATAAAATCCACAGACATTTCTGTTTTTTGTTTGTTTTTCTTCAGTTTTTGGCCGGGGCTGGGTTTGAACCCGCCACCTCTGGCATATGGGGCTGGTGCCCTTCTCCTTTGAGCCACAGGCACTGCCCACACAAACATTTTTGTTTTTCCTGAAATAACATTTATGCCAATATCACAAATATTACATTTACAACTAATCATCATAGTATGATTAATACTGTATTAAATGTGCCTTCTAGGGGCTATTGCTTGCCTTCCCTGAGTGTAGAAGTTCTGATTCTGTCAATGGCTGAACTTAGCCTTAACTCTCAGTGCTAGGTCAAATTTTCCTCTACATCTCTTATGAATATCACAAGAAATACTACTACCCTTTGTTATTTGAATTCTAAGTAATCCTAAAAAGGATCAAACTTCTCTGTCTCTGGAGCATCCTTGGCTTTCAGCAAGAGCTTGTATTTTCCCCTTGATTGTTGCTGGGAGATGCACCGGTCCTCTTCCTTAGATTTTCTGCCCTTCAGTTTTTCCTTAGACTATCACTTTTTTTTTGAGACAGAGCCTCAAGCTGTCCCCCTGGGTAGAGTACCTTGGCATCACAGCTCACAGCAACCTCCAACTCCTAGGCTCAAGCGAGTCTCCTGCCTCAGCCTCCCAAGTAGCTGGCGCCACAGGCGCCTGCCACAATGCCTGGCTATTTTTTGGTTGCAGCCGTCATTGTTGTTTTGGCAGGCTCGGGTTGGATTCGAACCTGCCACCTTAGGTGTATGTGGCTGGCGCCTTAGCCACTTGAGCCACAGGCACCGAGCCACCTTAGACTATCATAAGAGAATTTCCCTGTGTTCCACTGTTATATAAGTCCACTAACCCAGATATTCCATTCTATTCTTCTCTTCTATCTCTCCACATTGTCTAAATAAGCTCTTTTTAAGTTATTCTACTCTAAAGCTTTACCAGAATTTAGCTGAAATTCCCTCTTTTCCAGTTACTTTTCATATATACATTTATAATATCCCATTTGCAGCTGGAAAGGATTGGCTTCTGTGCCATACAACTCTACCAAGGCATAGTTACTGCTACTTGCCCTTCCCTCTGCTCTCAGAGTTCTCAGTTCCTAGTTGTATTATAGAGCTTATGGAAATTATCTGTATATATTCTGCCTCCCCCACCAGATGAAGAGGTCCTCCGGATCAGGAATTATAGTCTTTCATTTCTACATATCCAGCACCTAGCATAGGGTACATAGTATATGTTCATAAAGTTGCTACTAACTGAACAGTTGGCTTTTCAAATGCGTAGGATCCCTCATTTACATTTCCCACAAACATCTCCAGCCCTCCACACTCAAGTATGAACTCTAAATTCCTTCCATAGTTTGTAATGCCCTTGAGAGTGTCTTTTAGGCCTGTATCACATGAATGAATGAATAGTGTCTTTTAGGCCTGTATCACAATCATTCTGGGGAGGAGCATCTGATCCTATTTAGTATGGAACCTTTTAGGTACAACCCTATACATGGGTGAACTTACGTATATAGAGCAACTTTGGAGGTACCAAGAAGGATCTCCTTCTATAATCTTTCTTTTTTTTTTTTTTGGCCGGGGACTAGGTTTGAACCCGCCACCTCTGGCATATGAGACCGGCACCCTACTCCTTTGGGCCACAGGTGTCCTTCCATAATCTTTCTTACCCCACTAGCTAGCCTATCCAGTTGCCTAGAATTCTGTCATCAGAATTTGATTCCTTTGGGTTAAGGTACTACCCTATCTTAAAACACACACACACACACATGCACTGTACGCACACAGAGTTAGCTGTATTAATCATTAATAAGTCAGCTAGGAGTATTAGTGTAACAGATCCTTCCCAAATGAAAATGAGCTGAGAGTAGCATCTGATGAGAAGGGATAAGGGACAGGAATGTGTGGGGAAGTAGATCCAAAGTGCTGGCACTGGGTGGGGAAACATAAAGACCAGACAAGTAGAAGGATACTGAGAGTCATAGGCCATTTTTTTTTCTTTTCTGGTTTTCTCAGATTAGGCTTTTAAAATATAGACAGAACCCAATCAGTTTATGATCTAGAACCTGAAAACTGTGGACTTCTAAGTTAGCAAGCTCCAAATCTATTCTTTCAACTATCTGCTTCCCTCTAGGCAACCAGACATTTGAAAGTCAAAAAGGACCTCAAGAGATCATTTTACATCCCAACCCCATCATTGTGCAGATGAAGACATTTAAGCCCAAAGGGATTAAGTACCCTGCCCACGGTCACACAGCAAGTACAGACTAGAACCTGGAGTTCCTGTCCACATTTCCAGAAAGAACAATTATGCTCATTATAATAACCACACGCCTTCATTTGGAAAAATGTCACTCTCTGATTTTCAGAAGTCTAAATAGCTTTTCCAGTTAACCACAAACCAGGCCTGAAATATATATTTATCAAAAGAAACACGTAAAGTTGTATGAATTGAACATAAACCACAACCCTACCAAATAAACCACAAATCAAACTAAAGGATATTTTAGTGCTTCAAAAATAGAGGGCATGTAATTTCAAATATTACATTTTTCCATTTGAGATCTGTAATATGTGGCTCCAGTTTCTCGAAGAGTTTTTGTCTGAAACTGAAGTCATGCTTACCTTCTCTTCCCACATGCTTAGAATCCTTTGAACTTCTTATGCAATGAGGAAACGCCAAGGTAACCATGGGCAGGTGGCTGAGTAGAGCCAGAAGAAGTGTAAACATAGTCGGGCAACTGTCAAACAAATGAAAACAAACAATAAAAAAAAAAAATTGAAAGAAGAAAGAAAGAAGGAAGGGAAAGAAAGAAAAGAAAGGAAAAGAGAAAGAAAGAAGGCTCAGCGTCTGCAGATAAAAGGCTAAGGCGCCAGCCACATACACCAGAGTTGGTGGGTTCGAACCCGGCCCGGGCCCGCCAAACAACGACAACTATACAACCAAAAAATAGCTGGGCGTTGTGGCGGGCACCTGTAGTCCCAGCTACTTGGGAGGCCAAGGTAAGAGAATCGCTTGAGCCCAGGAGTTGGAAGTTGCTGTGAGCTGTGGTGCCACAGCTCTCTACCAGGGTGACAGCTTGAGGCTCTATCGCAAAAAAAAAAAAAAAAAAAAAAGAGAGAGAGAGCGAGACAGACAGACAGAAAAAGAGAAAGAAAAGAAACACGTCAAAATGACCCTGGCTCAGCACCTTAGTTGCTGTGGGGACTGAATCATCGACCTGTTGTACTCCGAGCCACCGTGCGAAAGCGCCCGCGCGCGGTTTCGGTCCCGGTGCCGACGCATGCCCAAAAAGGGGCCCCGAGAGAACGCCCGGGACAGAAGCCGCGCCCCAGGACCGTGCCGAGGGCTGACGGTGCCCCGGGACTCTCAGCTTTGCGCGGAAACGCGATCCAGTCGGCGTCTGAGCTCCCTCCGAAAAACCCCTGCCCCGCCGCCGGGCACTGTACCTGTATCCCCTGGGACATGTTCCAGCCGTGCCCGGGCCGGAGTCCCGTTTAAGTGTGGTTCCTGCGGCCGCCAGGCCCTCGGTCTCCGGTGCCCCCCAAATCTCGACGACGCTCTGGGCCTCGCTCTCCGCAGGGTAGGGGTGGCCCCCGTGCGCAGACCGAGGAAAAGCCAGCGGTCGGCAGAAAGGAACCCGGGGGACCTGCTTGCCGCGAGCTCCGGCGTGGCTCACGGGAGGCCGCAGACGCAGCTGTGAGAAAGGGCGGGGGCGGCCACCTGGAGCACCTGGCCGCGCTCCTCCCCCGGGGGCCGCCTCCCTGCGGCCGAGGGCGGGCGGGCGTCTCGGGGAGTCGGGCCGGAGCCCTGGGCCCGCCCGCCGCCCGCCGCCCGCTGCCAGGTCGGGCCCCGCCTTGGCGGCGCTGGTGGCCGGTTTTCGACTTGTCTCCAGACCCGGCGTTCTCTGCCGATCCAGGGAAGCGTTTCAGTTCTCAGCGCTAACTTCACCTCGGCGCGTCCGGGACTTTTCGCTCTGGTTTCCTCCAGGCTAGGTAGGGGTCGCGGGGCTACTCTTCACTAACTGTTCTCAAAGGGTGGTCCCGGGACGGTACAAAATATTTATCATAGAAAATGCATTTTATTATTTATTTATATTTTTTTAGAGTCAGAGTCTCACTTTATCACCCTCGGTAGAGGGCCGTGGCGTCACAACTCACAGCAACCTCCAACTCCTGGGCTTAGGCGATTCTCTTGCCTCAGCCTCCCAAAGAAAATACGTTTTAATAGTAAGATGAACCGGGAAATGATCTTGAACTTAATCGATTACATTGGTTCTGCAGTGGCGGTCCTGCAGGTTTAGGATGTCTTCAAGATCTTTTCAAGGGTCAAAGCTATTTGCACTATGATAACACAACATGATTTGTTTTTTCACTTTCATTCTCTCAAGAGTGTACCGTGGAAATTTCCAAAGACTGTTTGACGTGAATGACATCATCACTTTGTCTCCTAATTAATGGAATACCTGCGTGTGCCAGCTTGTATTTTATAGTGTTTTCCATGGTAGTAGATGTAAAGTATCATATGTACATTTTATAGAAATTTCTGTAGATTTATAGAGCTAAATAAAATTCGCTGGTTTTCAGAACTTCTGTACTTTTATTAGCTTTGTTCATATCTACCAGGATAGCCAGAACCTCATTATTCTTAAATAAATAATTATCTTGATATCTTGAACTTTTTTCTCAGGCGAATGTGGACACAATAAAAAAGTACACTTCGTTGTCTTGATTTGAAATATTTTGAAAATTCCTCAGTATGAATGTTACAAAGTTATGTGGTCCATATCATTAGATAAATTCATATAAGTAAAAGCTTTTTAGCACCCTTAATAATGTTAAAAGCATGTAGAGAGTTCTTGAGATCAACGAGTTTGCGAACTGATTCCTCAAGTAATGAAAGTAGCGGGTGGACCTAGCAGAGGACCTATGCTAGGTGAGGTTCACGTTTTTCCTTGTCCAGATAACATCCTTCACAATTGTTTGGAACATACTTAGGGTTGCACGCTTTTAGCCAAAGTGGTCTAGCACTTGCTAGAAGCCAAAGGAAACATTTTTTCCCCTTTCTTATCTGTGATTAGTTAAATTCTCACCAAATTCTTTTTTTGTTCCTATAAAGGCTATTGTCTTTTATTCTTTTTTAAAAATATAAAAGGATAAGTTTATTTTACAGTAGAGAAAGGGAAGGGGGGGAAGAGATGAGAGAGGAGAGAGCAGACAATGGGAGGGAGAGAAAGGAAAATGGGGGGAGGGAGAAAAAGGAACAAGAGAATGAGGTGGCATCCCAAAGAAAGAAAGGAAGAAAGCCATCCTGTCTCTTTTATTCTGATTATTGAGAATCTACTGAATTCCTCCTAAGTTTTCTGCAGAATTTTTTGTTTTCACTGATTCCTTCTACACAGTGCTTTTCCATTTCCCTTCTTCTGGTTTCTTCCTCTTCCCTTTTTGTTTGTCCGCCTTGTGGTCTAACCTGTTTCTATGATGGAGCTGTCTTCTCTCCTTCTTAAGTAATTATAGAATCAGACTGGGAAGAAGCTAGAAATGATTTGTTGTGATTGAACACAGTAACAGGCAGCAATCTTCACTAGAATACCCATTCTTCCCGTTATTCATTTGGTCAACCTATGGCACTAAGCCTTGGGGATAGGAAGAAAATACCACAGCCTCTGTTCTGCAGGAGAACTTAATTTGGCTAAAATCTGTATCTGAGTGTATGCCTATAAAGTTCTTACCAAGGGCAAGGACTGCTTATTCAACTTCACATTCTCCATAGTACCCAGCAGAGAACCTTCTGTGTTGTTCATACTCAGTACATTTTCGTTGGATGAAAGCAATTTATTTTCAGGTGGGAAAAGTGCTTCCCATTATTTTGGCAAGTGGCAAATGATCAGATGCCTCAAGCTATGGAATCAGCAGTTGTGAACTTCTGTGACATTCCTTGGCAGAATGAGTCCACCCACATATCTGGATATTTGGACCAAAACAAATGGGGCTTTGTGCTTACATCAAATATCAGGGTTTATAGACTGAGAGCAGAGGTGGATAGAAAAATGAAAGTGTGTTTCTCAAGGGTGAATTTCATCACTGCATGTTTTCCTATAATATTGAGTCCTAAAGAATATTACAGCATTTGGCAGTATGCACACAAACTTCAGTCACTATGGAACTGCAAGGTATTTTGAGGTTAGATGGCAAAGAGAAAAAAGAGAATAGCCAGTAACAACAGTGTCCAAGATTAATAATTTCTTCTGTTATCTACTCGTATTCATTATCTTATTTTGTACCATTTGATTTGTTTGTTTATTTATTTTTAAAAAGAGTCTCAAGCTGTCACCCTGGGTAGAGTACTATGGCATCATAGCTCACAGCAACCTCCAACTCTTGGGCTCAAACGAACCTCTTACCTCAGTTTTTCTATTTTTAGTAGAGACAGAGTCTCACTCATGCTCAGGCAATCCACCCACCTCAGCCTCCCAGAGTGCTAGGATTACAGGCTTGAGCCACCCTGCCCACTGACCATTTGCTTTTTAAAGTTACAGTATTCTTGCCTGGGCCTCCTGACTCATGCCTGCAATCCTAGCACTCTGGAGAAACAAGGTGGGTGGACTGCTTGATCTCAGGAGTTTGAGACCAGCCTGAACAGGAGCGAGACCCCATCTCTACTAAAAATAGAAAAAACTAGCCAGGTGTAGTGGTAGGTGCCTGTAGACCCAGCTACTCAAGAGGCTGAGACAAGAGGATTACTCAAGCTCAAGAGTTTGAGGTTGCTGTGAGATAGGACACCATGGTACTCTACCCACAGTGACAAAGTGACAAAGTGAGTCTGTCTCAAAAAAAAAAAAAAAAAAAAAGAAGTTACAGAGCTGGGTACAGTGGCTCATGCCTGTAATCTCAGCACTCTGAGAGGCTGAGGCAGGTGGATTGCCTGAGTTCATGGTTTCGAGACAGCCTGAGCCAGAGTGAGACCTCATCTCTAAAAATAGCTGGGCATAGTAGCAGGTGCCTGTAGTCCCAGCTACTTGGAAGGCTGAGGCAAGAGAATTGCTTGAGCCCAAGAGTTTAAGGTTTGGGGGGTGCCTGTGGCTCAAAAGGGTAGGGCACCAGCCCCATATGCCAGACATGGTGGGTTCAAACCCAGCCCTGGCCAAGAAAAAAAGAGTTTGAGGTTGCTGTGAGCTATGACACAACAGCACTCTACCAACGGTAACAAGTAAGATTCTGTCTTAAAAAAAAAAAAAAAAGGTTACAATATATTTTTTTAAGTTTCAATTTTTTTTTTTTTTT